TACTTTAGCCCAATTCCTGAGGAGAGCGAAGGGCAGCTCAGCCAGGTTTCCTTGTTTTGTTTTCCTCAGTCCTTTAGAGGCCTGTGGACCTAGAACTGTGTCCTCCACTAAAAGGCAGTGGAAGGGTAAAACGCTTACCCTTCTGAGATTCATCAGGTGTGTCCTCTCACAATGATCCCATGAAGTCATCTAATATAATTGTCTTCAATTCTCCTAATGGATTTTTTTCTTCTTAAAATATATCATATGGTCCATTATGGTAACATTCTCAGCATAAGGACTCAGGTGTGTGTGTGTGTGTGTGTGTGTGTGCATATGTAAGAGATCTGGAATTTTAAGTGAGAATTGGATAATTTATGTCCAAGTAACACTAGAAAAAACATAATGATTTTAGGGTCCTCCACAACCAGCTTATGGAAAATTAGAAGTAGACAAAGTATCTCAATTACAAAGTTGCAGCATGTGTGGCTTTGATCTAGTGCAGTAAAATGTGCATTTCTGCAATAAAAATGATCTACATTGTTCACAACTTTACATATTTGGTGACAAAGTCTCACCTATGTTATATGAGGTTAACACAATTTGAAAGGAAAAGCTAGAGAGATAGCATTGAAGAGTATGGTTCTTACTATTCTACTAGTTAATCATTTTATCATCAATTGAGAATCTAGGTATACAGTGAACACTATCGTGAGGTTGACACTTAGATGCTGTGTGGGTTCAAGGAATAACAAACTTAGACTGTTCCTGAAGACAAACAGATGACCATAAAACCATAGTGAGCCATAGAGGCTGCATAACAATAGAGTGTAGCACATTGTGTTCTTTCAATTATAGGTGGTAGAAGAACTTCATTTATTCATTCTTTTGAATTCAATGAACATTAGCTGAGAAGTCATTCAGAGGATTCAGAAATGAATAAAGTCAGGAAAGGAGACTGATACAAAAATAATAACTATAATAAAACATCATAAGTATTTCAGTAGAAATATGTAAGAAACATGGAAAGTGTTTGTTGTCTGTGTGTGGAACAATGAGTGATGTTTGACCTGACTTTAAACAAGCATAAAAGTTAATTAGAAAGTTACGGTGTGCACAACAACCAGGCAGAGGGAAGAGCATATACAAAGAACAAGTTTGGGATAATGATATATAGCCCAGAATGGCTGGCTTCAGCTGGGAGTGATGACAAGTACAGCTAGAAAGACGAACAAGCTCCTGTTTTTGGAGGGTCTTATTTCCATCCTAATAATATTATACTTAATCTTGTAGTGGAAAACCATTGCTGGATTGAAGTCAATGCATGACTTGATCAGATTTGCATTTTAGATGTATAATGATAGTAATAGCTAACATTCATGGAGGGCTTGCAATGAGCTGAACACTGTGTGCCTTATTGCATTTAACAGAAAGATGACAGACTAATTTCTAGAGCTGAGAACAGAGATAAATGAGTTAGTGTTGAAGTAACTAGGCAAGGCTTCCTAGATAATAAGCATTGTAGTGTAGGGGACTGACACATATTTTCCTAGTTTAAGAATTAAAGTTAGGCCGGGCACGGTGGCTCACACCTATAATCCTAGCACTCTGGGAGGCCGAGGTGGGCGGATGCTTGAGGTGAGGAGTTCGAAACCAGCCTGAGCAAGAGCGAGACCCCACCTCTACTATAAATAGAAAGAAATTAATTGGCCAGCTAAAAATATATATAGAAAAAAATTAGCTGGGCATGGTGGTGCATACCTGTAGTCCCAGCTACTCTGGAGGCTGAGGCAGCAGGATTGCTTGAGCCCAGGAGTTTGAGGTTGCTGTGAGCTAGGCTGACGCTATGGCACTCACTCTAGCCTGAGCAACAGGGCAAGACTCTGTTTCAAAAAAAAAGAAAAAAAAAAAAAGAATTAAAGTTAGTGAGTAATGTATGTGTTCTGCCCAGAGCGTGTGAAAGTAATGTGTTCCGGACAGGCTCCCTGTGATAAACAAAGCTGATGCCCAGAGCATAACAAAGAACCCAAGTTGCAAGTAAGCAAGAGCTGCCCTGTCCCACGGCTCTGGGGGTCTGGAGGCCACACAATAAACACCCCATAAGATGGCTGGTTAGTCAATGACGGGCAAGACCCCTCAAGGGAGGGTCAACCTAAGCGATGCACAGCTGCTGGGGTTCAGCCGAAAATCTTAGGGGGTCACCCTAAGAGAAGCTGGGGATGAGAAATGCCCCCTGTGGCTTGCCTTGCCCATCCTTGCTAATCTCGGTCCGGGATCTATGCCTGGCGCCTAGAGCAACCACCTGGAAACTCTGAGTCAGGGGACATCTGTTTCCCTAAGGCTATTCCGGAATTTATGGCCATTGCTGCAATGCCTGGGCGGTTATGTACAAGGAACTGACTTTAATTTTTTAAAGTATAAAAATAAAAGGGACTCGGTGTATTATTACTTGAGTCAACCATCTGTGTGTCCACGTTTTTCTTTGTGTTCTGCGTTTTTGTTTTGTGTTCTGTGTTCATCCTCCGTCCTGTAAATGGGCCATGACATTGTAGGGTGGGTAGCTTTTGCAGAGGGAGGCAAAGAGACGACACCCCAAGTTACATAAAAATTAAGAAGGATGGATGCCTCTGTGGTGAGAATCAGCTTGCATTCATGAGAGGGTGAGCAGACCTCTGCATAGAACTGAGGCTGTATGTTTAGTGCTCAGTAAACCTGGTCTGGAGGGGTTTGGTGAAGTCCCATAAGGGTTTCTAAAAGTCAGGTGGAGGAATTTAGGATGATTGCTAGGCAAGAGAGAGACAATGGTGCTTTCTGAATGATCCAAGAAGAGGAAGACACAGGAAGACTCTCTAAATTGAGTATCTAGAATAGATTGGGGGATGAAGACTGGGGACGCTGGGAACAGATGTAGCATGTGAGAGTCTGCAGTAAATCCTCACATGAGATGATGTCTTGCCTGGACACAGCAAAAATTAGATGGCTATATGAGGATGGTTTTATATCTGGGTTCTCAGTTCTGTTCCATTGGTCTGTTCAGTGCTCTGTGAGCTTTGGATGAATTTAGTTTTCCTTATTTCCTGCTGATTTCTGAAGTTGTTTAAGTTGTTTTGTACAAGGAAGTTTGAGCTTTTCTTACAGGTTTGAGTTGTTTCCCACAAGTTGTTTCCTACAAGGAGTTTGAGGTCCTGCTTCACAGGAGGTAGTCTGCCTGATTAGGAAGGAGAAAGGGTATAGCCTTCTGGGGACCAAGCCTCTCTCACCAGATCATATCTTCTCCCTGGTGTCCCTTAAGTAGTGTGAACTCAGGGCTGAGCTGCCAGAGTCCTTGGTTCTCTGTGGAACACCTGGGAGGCAAGTCTGCTTCCCTCTTGTTTTAAATCCAATGGAATTGAGGCCCCAACATCTTAGTCTCAGCATTTCTAAACCTGAGGCTGCAGGGAGCAGATCCTCCATCTGGGGCCTCTAGCAAGACAGGTGCTCTGTTTGGTAGCTGGGCCATTTGTAAAGCTTCTCGACTGGCTAACTGGGAAAGCTGTATGAGCCAGGGATGCTCTCAGGGCATTATTTGCATCTGCATGGTCAGAACACAAAAGGTAACTGTGGTGGGAACAGCAGAGCCACAGAGACACTGGGGTGAGTTTTGTTTTGTGACCATGGGCTTCTTTTGCATGTGGTGGTCAATTCCACTTTGAAAGAAAAGGGAATGGTGCCAGGTGCACATGAGGGACAGGGAGAATGATGGTCCTGCTGTAAGACCAAGTCTAAAAAGGGTTCCTTTAGGTCACCTCCGCAGGGACATAATGACAGATTCTGTAGCTCAGTCTCACCAGCTGCAGCTCTAACTGCTTTCCAAGACCCTGCCACAGGGTGGAGGATGAGGGGGAGATCCCTGAGTCTCATTCTGTTCAGGATCCCGCATAGTTTCTTGGTTTGTCATGATCCAGAGATGGTGGAAGTGAAATATTTCCCAAAACTCAGAGTTTCCCGTAATGTTCCTGCTGTTCACAGGGAGCAAATAATAAATGGAATTGCACAAGTTTTGCATCAGCCATTCCTCTTTCTCCTCCAGCTGGTGGGTGGTGGCTCTCCCCTACCTTTCTTCTAGATAGGCCTGGGTTTCAGCCTTGGCTCAACCACTCACAAGCTGTATTTCTTTGGGCAAATTGCTAAACCTCTCTGAGTCTCAGTTTCTTCATCTATCAATTAGCCACCTCAAAGACGTACAGGAGGAATTAAATGAGGGGTGACTGTGAAGTGCTTAGCATACTCTAACACATAGTAGACCCATAGTAAAGGGCAGCAGCACCTGCGGGTGTCGTGGTTGCTGGGATGACAAAACGGTGAACATCAGGTAACCACATGCTCTGGGTTCCTTCAGGCTATTGCGCTCTTTAGCGCAATAACCCAGGCCTCTGGGTTGTTTTTCCTGCTTCCCTTGTTTCCCTGTAAGTGAGCCTCATCTTGCTTCCTCTCTCCAGTTCACTTATTCTTCCTGGGTGCCCATCTTTTACTCTAATAAATGCCCTATTTCTTCTCCAGTTTCAACCAGGCTTCTTACTGGGCATTCTCTCAGCAGATTTTTACTTTGTGTAACTTTTCAACTTTTTACTATTGGAGAAATTGGGAAAGAGGAGGCATTTAATCAATTTTCTGGATGGAAGCACAAGTGGAAGAAGGAAAAATAAGGGAAATAAGAGATACTCCAAAGTATCTCTAGGAGCTGAGGTAATCTGCTTGGCTAATTCACAACTTTTCTGAGCCTCTGTGTGCCTGGGTTTGTAATATGGGAATCATGGCATGTCTGTGGGGTTGCTTGACTAGTTTCTTGCATAGGGTGGGCTATTGAGCACCGAATAAATAATATCTATCATGTGAATAAATTAATGAGCCAGTCACATAATATGTGTGAAAGGGTTTTATCAACAGGCAAGTGCTAAATAAACAAGAAGGGTTAGTGTTATGATTGTGTTTTCTTTGTCACAGGGCTATTCTCTGAGATCTACATTCTCCAAATGCTATCCATGGCCGGTGTAAATAACGTGACAGAGTTAATTTTCACTGGCCTTTTCCAGGATCCGGAGGTGCAGAGAGTGTGCTTTGCAGTGTTTCTTCCTGTATACCTGGCCACGGTGGTGGGCAACAGCCTCATTGTTTTGACGGTTAACGTTAGTAAAAGTCTGCAGTCCCCCATGTACTTCTTCCTTAGCTACCTGTCCTTGGTGGAGATCAGTTACTCCTCCACTGTTGTCCCTAAATTCATCACAGACTTACTTGCCGAGATTAAAATCATCTCCTTGGAGGGCTGCCTGGCTCAGATATTCTTCTTCCACTTCTTTGGGGTTACTGAGATCCTTTTGCTTGTGGTGATGGCCTATGACCGCTATGTGGCCATCTGCAAGCCTCTTCATTACATGAATATTATGAGTCGTCAACTGTGTCACCTTCTGGTGGCTGGTTCCTGGCTGGGAGGCTTTTTTCACTCCATAGTTCAGATTCTTGTCACCATCCAATTGCCCTTCTGTGGTCCCAACGTGATTGACCACTACTTCTGTGACCTCCTGCCATTATTCAAGCTTGCGTGCACTGACACTTTTGTGGAAGGGATGACTGTGTTGGCCAACAGTGGCTTAATTCCTGTGTGCTCCCTCTTCATCCTGGTGTCCTCCTATGTCATCATCCTGGTGAACTTGAGGAAACATTCTGCAGAAGGGAGGCGCAAAGCCCTCTCCACCTGTGCCTCTCACATTACAGTGGTCATCTTGTTTTTTGGACCTGCCATCTTCCTGTACATGCAACCCTCCTCCACTTTCACAGAAGACAAACTGGTGGCTGTGTTCTACACAGTCATCACCCCCATGCTGAACCCCATCATCTACACGCTCAGAAATGCAGAGGTGAAAATCGCCATGAGGAGATTGTGCAGCAAAAAGGAGAACTTAGGGATGGCGTGAAAGGAGACCTCAAGGGTGGAAAAGTGATACAAGATGTATGTCTGATTATTCTTTGTTCTCAAAATGGATTTGGTTTTTGTGGAACATTCAAGAATTGCAGATACAAATTTAGGGACTTACTGTAACTGCTGCTGTTATTCTCCTTAGTAACCAAAGACTCCCTGGCATCCTGGTGTAATGTTCCAAGGACAGAGGTTGGATTGTCTTGTTGAATCTTAGAGAAATTGATTGGCTCCATGATATCCAAGAATATCATGGGGTTGGGTAATGTAAAGCCTTGAACCAAGTGCATATTCAAAGGAGAACATTTTTTACAAATGTTTTGTAGATTAAAACCACTTCTTTCTGTTAACCCCTCCATTTCTCCCTTCTCCCTTCCTTCTCTCTCTCTATTCCTCCCTCTTTTCCTTCCTTCCTTCCTTTCTTTTTTTTCACCTTCACTCTTTGTTTCTTTATTCAACCTCCCTCACGATAACAGACTAAATTTCATTAAAAAAGGAAACCAACCAGAGGATTTATCAGGTAATATTTGGGAAGGAGCGTACCAATCTGATCTCTTCTTCCAATGTGGACAAATGTGTCTTTGAAAAGTACATCCAGGGACTTTCCATTCTTCTGGTTGGCTCTTGGCATCTTGTACCATAGACCATCTGATCACGAGTATCAGAAAAGTACCTGGAGCAATTTTAGTTCTTATGACATGTTGATAAAACATGGTCCTTAAATCTCTTTGGTCCTCTCACAGTGTCTAGCATCCATAAACAAAGTAATATCAAAATGGTGTTGATTCTACTTAGCAGTTGAGAAAGATCAAATCAAATGTATTCACATGATGGAGATCATCGCTAGTTTTATCAAGATGTGAATAACACAGAGTGTTTATTAGGCCTTGGAGAATGAAGAGGGGAGTGATACTATCTAAGCATGTTTCTATGAAACTCCAGACCTCAGAGGGGGCAGAGAAAGATGGTGGACAAGAAACACCGCCAGACAGAGTGTCTCTGCAAAAAAGTCAGTTTCTAGAAGAAATTAGAAGTAAGAAGCATGCAGACGAGCATACATCGGCCGAGGGTCGGAAGGAGGGGTATCAGAGACTATGGGAGACTCCATGGGAGGAGGTTTCAGAGGAGAACTAGAAGTAGAGACCTCTCGAGTAGCCTAGAGACCAGTGGCAAGGGTAGGTGAAGTGGTTAACTTTCCTTTCCCTTGCATCTTGGACTGCTGGGGGCACTTCTCAGCAGGAGGAGAGACCTGCGGACACCAGCCCAGAGATGGCTACCACCAGTGAGTGGTAAGCCTGTAGCTGATGTGGCACCAGGCTCCCAACTCCCCTGGAGCAACTCTGTATGCACAGACTCGAGCTGTGGCAGGTGCCATATTGCTCTGTTCTCCCCTCCCCCAACCCTAACTGCAGCTGCCGAGAAAGACAATATAGCCACCAGCCAGAGGCATTGCCAGGGAACAAGACATTCCCTTTTGGGGCCCTTCAGCTGACTGAGGGGTACTCAGACTGTGAACTCCCTACCCGCCAGCCCTCCCAGGTGCTGCTGGCCCTATGACTCCAGGAGAACCGGGCAGACCCTGAGGCTGAGAGACATCAACCCAGCTTGGGCTCCCATGGGTGAATTGGGATTGGCACTCATCTCCCTGGTGGGGTCAGGGATTGAATTCTGGGGCCCAGAGGTCAGACCTGCAGACCAGATCCCATGCACCCAGGTCTCTTATAGCCCAGGGCACAGAAGAGATACTTGTGAACAGCCTACTGAGGTGTGTGCACCTTTAAGGGCAGATCAGTATCCTAGAGGGCAACCCTCCTCCCAAAGTGGGGCCATGTGCCCAGCCTAGGTGACCACCCTGTGCAGGGAACCTCCCAGCCTGCATCACAACCAGGGGAGACCCGGTGGTGTGAGGTCTTTCCTGCTGGCAGAGGCCCAGGAGAAGCCAGGAAGTTGGGGAGGGTGGAAAGGAGTGAGGCCCGCTCCAGACTGCGGGTCTCAGACGACCTCACCACCACACGCAGACTTTCTGACTGAGCGGGGCCATTCCAGCCCCTCCCTGACAGCTTTTCCCAGAAGCAGAGAACAGAACTTTGACACCTGCTAATGGCATTGGTGGTGCCTGAGGTCATGTTTAACTAACCCAGCTCCACCCAGACTCTCTCCCAGACCAGCCCTCACTGAGGTGGAGAATAAGGACACACCTGGAAGTCCCAGGGCCCCACCCATCACCTGAGGCTCTAGAGTGCCTCTCCAGAGGAACAAGAGCTGGATACAGGACCCAAAAACAACAGTGTAGCCTGCTCCTCTGAGTAAGCACCACCTACTGACAGGGAGGACATCCTGCACACCCTTTTCACAGCACCTACTGACTCATCATACAGGGTGTGGTAGAATCTTACCCACAAAAACCACCTACTGGCTCAGAGACTAAACAGGGTGTGTCATTACCCAAACAAAAACCTAAAGGAAAGAAGCAACAACTGATCCAGATGGGAAGAAATCAGTAAAGGAACTCTGCAAATATGAAAACTCAAATGGAAAGCACACCCCCAAAAAGGAACACCAGCCCCTTAGAAATGGACACCAACCAAAATTAGACCACTAAAATGACAGAAGAAGAATTTCAAGTGTGGATCGTAAGAAAATTCAACGAGTTGCAAGAAAAACTGGATAATCAACACAAAGAAAACACAAAACCCAGGACTGGAACAAAAATTCACTAAAGAAATTGATACAATGAAGAAAAGTCTGACTGAACTCCTGGAAATGAAGAATCAATTCAGGGAATTACAAAACACAGTGGAAAGCCTCAAGAACAGGGTAGATCAAACAGAAGAAAGAATCTCAGAGATTGAAGATAACACCTTCCAGTTAAATAAATCAGTCACAGAGATAGAGCAGAGAAACAAAGAAGTAATAAAAGACAAAGTAATAAAAGACAAAGAAGGTCACTATATGATGGTGAAGGGTATAGTTCAACAAGAAGACATAACAATTCTAAATATATATGCATACAACCCTGGTGCACCGAGATTCATAAAGCAAACTCTACTTGATCAAAACAAATGGATAAACAACAACACCATAATAGTCAGAGACTTTAACACTCAATTGACACAACAGACAGATCTCCAAACAAAAAATCACAAAGGAATAATGGATTTATGCGGAACTCTAGAACAAATGGGCCTGACTGACATTTATAGGACATTCTACCCTGAAACCACTGAATCTACGTTCTTCTCATCAACTCATTGGTCATTCTCTAAGATTGACCATATCCTAGGACACAATGCATGTCTCAAACAATTTAAAAAAATAGAAATTACACCATGTATCTTTTCAGATTACAATGGAATAAAAGTAGAAACAATCCTAAGAGGAACTCTCATTTCTAAAACAAAGTCATGGAAAAATAACAACCTTCTGCTGAATGACCACTTCATAAACAGGAAATCAAGATGGAAATCAAAAGATTCTTTGAACTAAATGACAAAGGAGACACAAGTTATCAAAACCTGTGGGACACAGCTAAAGCAGTCCTGAGAGGAAAGTTTATTTCAATAAATGCCTTTATCCAAAAGTCAAAAAGATCACAAATAGACAATCCTAATGAATTGTCTCAAAGAGCTAGGAAAGAAGAACAGACTAACCCCAAACCACGCAGAAGAATGTGAAATCATTAAGATCAGATCAGAACTAAATGAATTGACAACAGGAAAATCCATACAGAAGATTAACCAAAACAAAAGTTGGTTCTTTGAAAAATAAACAAAATTGACTTACCTTTGGCTAGGCTAACAAAAGCAGAAAGAAAAATCTCTAATAACTCCACCAGGAACAATAAGGGAGAAATTACAATGGATGCCACAGGATACAAGATAATACATTCATGAATACTACAAAAGCCTCTTATGCACACAAACTGGAAAATGTGGAGGAAATGGACAATTTCTTAGAAACACACAGCTTCCCTAGGCTAAACCAGGAAGAAATAGAATTCCTGAACCGACCAAAATACCAAGTACTGAAATTGAAACAGCAATAAAAAAACCTTCCTAAAAATAAAAGTCCTGGACCAGATGGTTTCACACCTGAATTTTACCACACCTACAAGGAAGAATTAGTGCCTATCCTGCAGAAATTATTCCACAACATCGAGAAGGATGGAATTCTCCCCAACACATTTTATGAAGTGAACATAACCCTGATACTGAAACCAGGAAAGGATGAAACAAAAAAGAAAACTGTAGATCAATATCCCTTATGAATATAGATGCAAAAATTTTCAACAAAATCCTAGCCAATTGAATCCAGGTGTCTGTCAAGAAAATAATCTATCATAACCAAGTGGGCTTTATCCCAGGGATGAAGGGATGGTTCAACATACACAAATCTATAAATGTAATTCGCCATATAAACAGAAGTAAAAACAAAGACCATATGATCCTCTCCATAGACGCAGAAAAAGCATTTGATAAAATCCAACACCCTTTTATGATAAGAATGCTCAACAAAATATGCATAGATGGGGCTTACCTATGTTGGTCATATATGCCAACAACAGTAAAAGTGAGAACCAAATCAAAGACTCAATTCCTTTCAAAATAGCAACAAAGAAAATAAAGTAGCTTGGAATATATTTAACTAAGGAGGTAAAAGACCTCTACAGGGAGAACTATCAAACACTAAAGAAGGAAATAGCAGAGGACGTAAACAGATGGAAGAATATACCATGCTCATGGGTCGGCAGAATCAACGTTGTTAAAATGTCTATACTACCCAAAGTGACCTACAGAGTCAATGCAATCCCTATCAAAATACCATTATCATTTTTCACAGATATAGAAAAAATAATTTTACTCTTCGTATGGAACCAGAGAAGACCCCATATAGCAAAATCAATCCTAGGCAATGAAAACAAAATAGGAGGTATCAATTTACCAGACTTCAAACTCTACTACAAGACTATAGTCATTCAAACAGCTTGTAACTGGCAGA